CACCATCACCATCATCATCATCAGCATCAGCATCAGCATCAGCATCAGCATCATCAACATCATGACCCATTATTCCTGGGGGCCTTAATCAGACGATGCTGTTGTCCTCTTTCTGAAGGTGAAGCAGGGGTGAGGGGTATTCAATGGCATAGCCAAAAGTCTTCGTAGATACCTTAGTCAAAGACGCGGCCCCTGTTCTCGATGGGCTGCTGTAAGGTTACTGGAAGGTTACTGTGAGGTTTTTAGACGGGTGCCAGAGCCTTGTACCTGCCCTTTGCCAATGCCTTCGACGAAACGTCCGAAATCCGACCCTTTGGCCTGAACACTGTGCAATCCCAAACTTAGCACGAGGCCAAGCTAGATCCAACAAAGTTTGCTCCACCAACAACCTTCAAAAGGCTGCAGAAACAGCTCTGACATGTCCAGGGCCCAGGAGCTGGCTCGGAACTGAGATTCTGAGGGTGGAGTGTGAATACAGGACATGGGACTCGCTTTTGCGCGCTGTGCTGCAGCCCCGCAACTTCGACAACAGGGCTGCCTGCTTTGCAGACGAGCCCTTCAACCCTGCACCTCAACCTCGCTGTTGGCTCAGAGGGAGCATTGGGCGCTGGCATCTCTAGTGACGAGAGCCGAATGGCTCTTCAAACCCTACATCCCAACCTCTCTGCTGGATTTTCGCTGCCACCCTGAACCGAAGAGCATGTAGTGTTGGAACATGGCGGCGACGACTGCGAGCACAAAGAAGCAGAGGAAAGCTGGGTGCTGTAGTATGATAAAGCTGTCCAGCAATGCAGCTGCAGCGGAGTTCTCGAGCCTTGTAGTCTCCGCTGAAGGTTTACAAGGGAGCAACCAACTGCAGGCACAGAACAACAATACCGGTCCAGTTTATGCTGTCCAGAACTGGAGTCCAGAACAACTGATGTTTGATTCCACTGCTCCCGCTTGCTGTCACACCACGAACATTCTCTTCAACAGTGCTACAATGTTATACTCCCCTCTTCTCAGCACTGTTCGGCCATTAGCCCCCTCTGTCTCTCTTACTCTCTCTTGCTCCTCCCCGAACTCATATATATATATATATGTTATATATATATATATATGTGGTCCCGTGTCGCGTGTCGGTACCTCCCCCCCCATGGTATCCCCCCCCTGGTAGAACACACCCGAAATCCTCGTGAGGGTCTCACTTGTGCCTGAAAACTGCCAACAGTCACATGCGACTGCTACCGCTACTGCTACTGCTACTGCTACTGCTACTGCTACTGCTACTGCTACTGCTACTGCTACTGCTACTGCTACTGCTAGTGCTACTCATACTGCTACTGCTACTGCTACGGCTACCACTACTGTGACGACGACGACTATCACTATCGCATGATCACTATAGCTAGTAGCAGTAGCAGCCGTCTTCCTCGTAAAAGGGCTAGCATAGTGGTGTAGTAGTAGCAGTAGTAGTAGTAGTAGTAGTAGTAGCAGCAGTAGCAGCAGTAGCAGTAATAGCAGTAATAGCAGTAATAGCAGTAATAGCAGTAATAGCAGTAGCAGTATTAGTATTAGTATTAGTATCAGTATCAGTATCAGTATTAGTATTATTGTTAGTATTAGTATGAGTATGAGTATGAGTACTAGTATTAGCATTAGTAGTAGTAGTA